TTTCGGTATAGATGATTTAATTTAAGACTTAATTAACTTAAAGATAATCTAATCACTGTTTATGAGAGTGTTAGTGGAATGTTTGAAGAAGAAATATGGTTCCTAAACATGTTACTTAAGAGCTACTAAGAAATACGGTTATGAGTAGTATTTCTTAGCTCAGACTAAACTACAAGGCGTTAAATTGTCCCTACTAAACTAAAAATAAACTGTTATTTGATTTTCTTTTAAAACTTCACGTCTAACAAACATTCTGCTGTGTACTACTGATATTGACAGATATAAGTAGTATGTATCATTAATTAAAAGTGAAATAACTGGCAGCAGAAGGTTAACAAGATCGAAGAAAAGAGAATGAGAACAAAGAATGATTGGTATGAAAAGGAAGGGACAATCAAGTCTCAGACGATTGACTGATATTCTACAAATGACGTATTCACTGTGTGGTTCTCAAATAATACTAAGATGTTCTATAATTTTGTGTTGCAGTGCAGTCGGTTATCCTCAATTGTGTTCTCGTTCACTACAACATTACATTAAAATGACAAAACTTACGATTCACAATAATGATGGAGGAACAGTCTAAGGTATTCCATTTCTAACACATCTTGTATATAATTTAATAGTTTCACTAAAAGTACCATATGTTCTGCATCAATCATTGCTAAAATAATGCCTTATGAATCATTCTAAAGAAGAGAACAACTTCGTAGTAATAAAAAAAACGTTTTGCTTTCTACATCAGTGATCATGTCTTTCACTCAACATAAGTTACATAAGTTAAAAAAAGAAATTGATTACATTTCTAGAAAGTTCACAAATCATTAATTAAATGTCCAATAAATATAATTAACTAATTGATACATGAAACACAAATGTACTAATAGTTAACACAATAACATAAGTCTATATATACAATTGTTCTTGGTAACTGGGAACTATTGAATATTTTATTTCAATAGTTGAGATCATGAGTCAGTTAAAGCTAGACCACCATTGAAAACCTGGAAGCACTGGACGGCCATTTTGTCCTATTGTGGGGCTCCTCAACAGTGCTCATCCACCACCCCACCTCTCGGGATTCAAACCCAGATCTCAAAATAAAATTGTTTGATTTTTTTTCTTATAATAAACCGAATTCAGTAACTTTGCTTCACATTAGAAATGAATCGGTACTATTTGGTTAAAAGGAATCGATATATGTGATGACGAATATCACTATAAGGAAAAAGTTGATCCAAAATGATCATAAATAGATCTATCTAAAACAACGAATTTTAGAGCATAAAATAATGCTCTCAATGAGATATAATGAAATTACAATAAACCATTTCTAAAGTTCCTATATGTCATAAAATAGTGATTGCTTCACATTACTAGAGTTAAAGGGGGTTCAATTGTACAAAGCGCTTTAAAAAGTACAAGTAACCCTATTTTCTCATTTTCTTATAGTTGATTGTTTAAATACATTTCTTTCATTCAAGTTGTAGGTATTTTGGATACTGTATACATTTTTAAAATCATCTTTTTGTATGACGTATCTAAATATATAAACGGTATCATCGATTGCAGGAAAGTTCATAAGACTTGAAACATTTAAATACTACACTAGATATGACTAACACATCATCAGGCTATTTATTACATCTTGAATATAATATACAAATTTAATAGTGAAAACTATTCATATTGGCCAATTAAGTATCAAAAAGACTTGACCATCACAATTGTTCATATTTATCTTACGCACTAGATGAATTCAGTAGGAACCTAGTATTGTTCAGATACTGAAGAATGTATGTTGCATAAACTTACCCAACAAATCTTAAATACCACTATAAAATTGTATTATTTATTTAGATCAATTATTGAATAAGAAGACATCAATTAATATGAATTATGAAATTATTACAAGGAACAGGCTAGCTGAATGATAATTTGCATGAGGGAGAGAAGCCTTTTTGTATTTCTGCTAGTTAATAATTGAAGTTGTCATTATTCATGTGTATCTTAATCTACAAACATAATTTATGGGATTCAAGCTATTCAACGTTACTCTTATTGCATATTTTCTCAGTTAACTCATTCAATTTTCGGATTTAAAAAGCGATCTTGTTAACTGAATTATTAGATTATGCAAGTAATGGTTGTGTGAACCGAGATAAGGTAATCCAAACCTACACGATTCACTGTGTTAAACATACGAGTGCATATAGGCAAAACAACCTAATGAAGTGGTGAAAGCAAATGGTTGCACAACAATTATGAATTTAGATATCATCTGAATCCAGCACCTAATGTGAGTTGTATGATAATCTACCAATGATTCAATAACTAAAAGCTAAATTATTTTGTAATGAATAATGAATTTAAATGGTCCGACTTATTTGTTCTTTTATATTTTTCTTTAGCAGTTTGAAACACAAGCAGAAGAATAGTTAACATTTAGTGATGAATATTCATACTTTTTCATAGTGTAGGTTATGAATTACCATTTTTAAAGGATTTGCTAACAAAGACGGTTCAGCGAAAAACTTTCCTTTCCAACAATTTGATTTACTTGAGCTGTACAATTGTATTCATGAATAAACACTTGCTAAATGCGATAGTCTATAGTAAAGCTAAACGTGCTGAATAACTAAATAAATCTTGATTGATATATTGTCACGAATTATTTTGCTAATACTCAGAAACTTGTTAAGTTTTTATTTCGTATTTTAATTTCAAATACCAATCGTTCTTATTTGACTTTGAATTTTGATGGGTGAAAATTCATCATATTTGTATCGTTTGAAATTGATATTAAAGGCATAAAAAGAAAAGGCAGTTCTTTGAAACTCCAACGGAGTACGGCGTCTGAACCCATACTATCTTGGTTGGCAATTATTATAATTTGATCGGATTAAAATATTTTGTAGATTTATAATTGTTAATGTCTATTCCGAATAGTGAATACAATTAAATTCTGCATGTATACGACATTTTTATCATATATTTGCTCTTCTTCACTATTTCAGCTATCAAGCTTACAAACTTGTACAAAATATTGTTAATAACATCGAATTATTATGCATATACATTTTGGCTTTAGAACTTTGCTAAAACTGCTATGATGCTTAACACAGTCAAAAAGTTAAAGTGATCTCAAAACAACCAAATGAGGAAAACAAATAATAACAATCTTATAGCTTCGTGGACTGTGAAGAAATTCATTCAAGAATAACATAGAAGCACAAGGTTTGCCGTCATCGATATTTAAACGATTGCAGAATAAATAAACATTTAAATTTCAGGTTACGTTTAATCGAATTATGAATACATCTGTAGAGATGATAACCGTGAAAAAACTTAAAGTACATCTTAATATACAGAGACTGAATGACGGAAAAAAAGAATAAATGCCTCACACTGAGGAAATAACACTGACAAAAGACGTATTACTGAATAATCCTTACAAACAATTGACGGTAAAGTACATGTCTATTTTTCAATAAAAATAAAAACAATAAAACCCACTAAGTAAGCATCATTATTTACCAAGATAGACGTGAAAAATTTGGCTTTAAGTGTTGCATCCTAAAAGTATGACACCGTTACATGACAATATCTAGCTTGCCTTACAATCCAACCAAATCCAAGACATACTCCTAACTTTCTTAGTTACAAAGAACATAACTAGTTGTAGATAAATAATTAGTTTCACAAAATTACGGTGACCCACTGAGCATATGGTCGGCTTTGGTCATAGACTTTACAGTCTTTTATGAAATATCATCTTCGTCTAATTTAAAAAGAGAACATATATTTTATATCGCCATGACTAAAGCTGTCTTTAAATTTTATGAACAAATGATTACGTTTACAGCCATTATATGAATACAGGGCTTTGAGGGCCTAATATTTGTACCACTAGATCAAGACTGCCACAAAAATTCTGAATCATTAACCGGTAATATTTGATAGTTATTCTGTGATTATATTCAAGCATTTTGACTACACCGTAAATCATATTTGGGCTATAACAGTCAATAACATGCACTTCTATTTGCTTTTTTGATTGAAAATACTTTTATCACTTGAATCGGAAATAAACAAGGATAATGGCTAAATTTTGCATGTTACAGATACGTATTTACCAAACAGTTTATGGCTATCGAACATAGATTTGATGTGTAGCATCTGTGCTCCAAAAATAACAGACGCATTAAAACCAGAGTAGATTCAACTATTTCAACAGTTGCCCCGTACATATGTACGTAATAACATATGTTCTAGATTGTTGAGATCATGCCCAAATAAGCGACATGAAATGTTTCGAAACTTTTGTTAATTTTTTTACCTGATATAATATAAATATACGTCGACCAGCAGTGAATGGAGTTTAATTACCAAAACAATTTCAAACTCATTTGATAATAGAGCCAAAAGAGAGCACACAAAAAAAACCGCCGAACACTTTATATCACGTCTCGACGTTGCATTAAAGTATGAACACTTGAATGACAATGTTGAACAGTTTTAAAAACAGACATACAATAATAACAAACGTGGATAAAATTAAACTTCTTGGAAAATATTATACTCTTATCAAATGTACCAACTCTGAGGGTTTACAGAAATTTCTATTTTTAATGCATTTTTACCTATTCAAAGGGCAAAGAAAAACCCACTGAAAACAGGTAACGTGACTAACCGAAAAATATATTAATTAGTAATATTAAAAAAAGTATCATTTCGATTAGACGTTTTAAGTTAATCGCCGGTTGGAAGATGTTTTTCTATCTCATTACGCATTGTAAATTGTTTTATGTTTTGTGCTATTTACTCGAAATGATAATTATATTGGACGTACGTAACACATAAATTGTTTAACTTCATGAATATTTTTTTATTAATGAAGAAAGTCATTTCATCTGCATTTACCTCTAAAAATACATCAATGGAATTACTTCGAAGAACATAAGAGAGAGAATTAAAGCATGAACAAAATATCAACTGACCACAAACTCACGAACACATATATGACTTTTGAATGAGTTTGACGACTTAAGGTCCAATATTACGGAATGTGGTATGATATAACAAAAAGGTGAACAGAATGATAGATGAGAAATGTTGCACAATGAACTCACTAACCATTGAGCCTTTATAAGTCATTGTTTACTGAATTTTATAAGTTTTGTATTCTGTTTCACATTCATTCGTTAGATTATGTCATACTTCATCTCAATGCATTCAAGCGTTATGATCACATATATATTCATTTGTCAAAGCATCCATTTCTGAAAAATTGAGCGTCAAATATAAAACCTGAAAGGCAATGTGGAACTAGGTGATAAGGGAAGCAAAGTTGAAGACACAACGATCAATAAAGGTCAACAGGCCCATTAAAGATCAACGAAGAAGATATAGTCCATGTAGTGATACACAAATCCTCCTTTAAAAAGTTTCGCGTCATCGATATTATTCTCATTATTTTTAATCACCAAACTCTGAACCAAAGCAGTTCATTCAAGCATCTGCACAGTGCTTGATATTTGCGAAACAACGCTCCCTAAACTGCAATGGTAAAACACTGCACTACTGGAAAACTTCGAACTTGTTTTTTTATCTATTTCACAAACTCAGTAGCTTCAAATTAAAGATCTCTGTCATGCACTAGTTCATTTAAGATCGTGGAAACCTTGGCAGTGTTCTTTTCAAAGAAAGTTTTCAAAACTTAAAATTTTGCACAAACATTCGTCTCGCCCAATAGACCACGAGCACATGCCCCAGATCTTCCGGCAAAAGTATTTACTTCCAAGTGAAATATTTCTTGCTCGAGGGAAATCGGATCTCGACTTATACGATTCTTTATGTCATCGACGTCGGTAGCCATTGATAGATTTTCATTCCAGCCTGAAGGAAAGTTTTACCTTGATGGTGTGAATATAGAGGTATTTTAAAGAGAATCTAGAATATTTAAAAAGTAAGTAGATGGCTAAGAAATCATACAAGAAATGCATGTTTTTAGGTATGAAAGTGGTTAAAAACACTAAGAAATAACGCACACTGAAAATTAAGGCTAACTGAAAATCGAACAAAATGATTATCAATATGATTTCAGGTAGATTTTGTGACTCCGTATAACGATCAAACATCCACACAGTTTGTAGAAAACTTATGTGGCTGATGTCAAACACGATGTAAGTCTAGTAGACTACAAAAATTAATACTTCATTACGCAAAACAAGTCGTTTACCCAAAGACTGGAAAAACGCCATAGTAAGTCCTGTCTTCAAAACAGGTACGAAACACAAACCTGAGAATTACCGCACCGTTAGCCTAACTAATGTGGTTGTTAAAATCTTGGAAAAGATTATTCGGAAGGAGCTGTTTAAGTATCTCGATAGAAACCAGATCCTTTCGGAGAAGCAGCACGGTCTCAGAATAAGTTACTATTGTCTCACTAACTTATTAGTGGCTCGTGAAAGCTGGTGCGCTCTTAAGGACCAAAAGTTACCTGTAGACGTAGCCTTCATTGATTTCAGCAAAGCTTTTGACAAGGTTCCGCACAATCGGCTGTTATATAAGTTAAAAAATGTCGGGATTGGAAGCAATCTATTTATGTGGATAAAAGACTTCCTAGTTGGGCATCAACAACGAGTACGAGTGAACTCAAAGTTATCTAGCTGGGAAACTGTGCTTAGTGGAGTGCCCCAGGGTACAGTTTTGGGGCCAGTGCTATTCCTCTTGTATGTAAATGACCTTCCTCGTCTCCTATCATCATCGGTCTTGCTATAAGCTGACGATGTCAGGATATGGAGAACGTTACGATGTGAGGGTGATAGCTAAGAACTCCAAAATGACTTGAAGAAATTATCTGAATGGTCTCAAACCTGGCAGTTGCCGATAAATACTTCCAAGTGTGTTGTGATGCATATCGGTCATCAAGGTACAGATACATACACGATGAATTACACTGAGCTACCTGTCGTCCAGACATATAATCATTTATAATTCATCGTTAGCCGAGACTCAAAGACTACTGCACACTGCCGTGCAATAGCCGCCAAAGGTTTTAGAACGTTATGGTCAATACGTAGGGCTTTTAGTCATGTCGACGCTAAAACGTTTTTGACTTTGTATACAGTGTTCGTACGTCCCAAACTTGAGTACTGCATACAAGCGGCCAGCCCCTGCCTAAAAAACGACAGTGAGCTTCTGGAAAGGGTTCAGAGAACGGCAACTAAGCTGATCCCCGGAATAGCGAAGCTTCCGTATGAAGCTCGACTGGCCAATCTGAACCTTTTCCCGTCGTCATATCGCAGAACTAGAGGCGACTTGATTAGAGTTTTCAAATTGCTCAGTGCCAAATTTGCACCTGATATGCCCTCATTTTTCTTGTCTCCCAAAACAGAGAATTTACGAGGACACTCCAAAATGTTCACAAGCCCAGAACAAATTACTTGTCAGCTGACTATCGACTTTCCCACCGAATCATCAACGAGTGGAATTCATCACCTCAGCTCGTGATTGGGGCTCAATCCGTCGACGTTTTCAAAAAAGGTTGGATCAACTGAGAGATCATCACTGCCAGGACTAAATCAGGCCCTCAAGCCTCCTGTCCTTCCCAAACTGAAACTGAAGTCCAGATAATACACACTTATTGTAAATCTCGTAAATTGCATCTGCTTATATTACAATACGCTGAAATAAAAGAATGAAACTGAAAAATTTTTTAAACATAAACGGAGAATATTGTCAAGCATGAACAGTGACAAGCTCAACGTAAATGTGTTGTTATTTTGAACGGCTAAACGAATAGTATTTCAAGGTTGTTAGCGGGACGTTTCGAAACTTTGCGCACTTTAAATGGCTGATGAGAAGCCACGAAGAAAACTAATTTTACACTTTGATGCAAGGAATACTTTGTTTCTGTCAGATAAAAGTTATCGTTTTACTATTGAAGAGGCACTTAACAATTACATTTCTGGAATTGTATGGGGTAAGCAAAATGGTTGATTAGTTTTTACCCGTTATTTCCCAAACCTCAGTTTGCTGAATTCTTGAGAGTTGAAAAAATTTTTTAAATATTTTGAGAAAAAAGAGCCATAAACCTCAATATATCTATATTATTTGCTTTAAACGTCTACTCAATTTGGTGGACGAATCGAAACGTTTGAATGTTTGCGAAAACTTTTGCAGTTATAAAAAAACTTGAAATCGGTTATTCACAAAGAGAATTTTGAGAATTTGAAGTTAAATAGAAGAAAGGAATTCAATGTATCAGCACTTCGACTTTTGTTTTCAAAATATCGATCTGTTTTGGATTTTTGTCTTAGATTGTAGAACAAGATAATTTTCAGTTTCAGCTTGGAAAGGACAGGAGGCTTGAGGGCCTGATTTAGTCCTGGCAGTGATGATCTCTCAGTTGATCCAACCTTTTTTGAAAACGTCGACGGATTGAGCCCCAATCACGAGCTGAGGTGATGAATTCCACTCGTTGATGATTCGGTGGGAAAGTCGATAGTCAGCTGACAAGTAATTTGTTCTGGGCTTGTGAACATTTTGGAGTGTCCTCGTAAATTCTCTGTTTTGGGAGACAAGAAAAATGAGGGCATATCAGGTGCAAATTTGGCACTGAGCAATTTGAAAACTCTAATCAAGTCGCCTCTAGCTTGTTTTTTAAGAGGCGTGTCTTGTAAAACGCTATCCTATATTTATCCCAACTTTACCGTTTAGTGTTTATTCTCTCCCATTTATTTGCCTGTTTAAGAAGTTCTCTGGTACTTAATATGCTAAATTTACAAGGTTGGCCATACAAAACTGTGGCTTATAGCCAGTAATAAAGGGTCATATATAAGATCACTATCATCAATAACAAATTCTACGAAACCTATACATTCTCTCACATGTATTGTATCAGGTATATCATTTAATTATGTCTGTAAACACAGTACGCCATCTATATATGTAACCAGAATAACTTAAGGTTTTCGTTTAAATATAAAAGGATTAAAAGTCAAACAAGCAATTTACTTCTAGTCACAATAACCAAATCAATTTAATTACTATTAAAGAATACATCCTAAAAAGCCAAGTTTAGGCGATACAAAATATTATTTTATCAATGATATCGCAACCGTGTCTACTTTGGATCGACAAATAAACTGGCTTATTGAAAACCCAAAAGACAATTATACGATAAAGTGTTTGAGTTTTAGGCATCAAAAAAGATAGCGTAATGCATGAAAAGTTAGAATATGACAAGATAAACCTCAAACGTGTGGTAAATGACTGTCTACTTGGTGAGTATGAAAAAGGTGAAGAATTTATTTGATAGATTTGGAGGGTGTTTCTAACATACAATTTAAGAATCTAGAAAAATACCGGAAAAAATACTAGCAACTAATTTACAGAGTTTGGGAAATTATTTATTAGAGCCACAGTAGAATGGGATCCTAGATGCAACTTTTTGCACACAAAGTTATGACCTGAACAGATGGGTTTTTAACCTCTTTGCAGTACATACGTTATCAAACTATGCTCCATTTAGATGATTTTTAAAGGTATGTCATGATCGAAGATGGTATAACTTTCTAATATTGAGCCACCAATCGTTCTTCATCATCCGTTTGAGGGCCACGCAAAACAATGCTCAAAAATTTGTTTGGAAAGTGCTTGGTTTCTTTAACCAGTATAACCTGCTCCACAAGGTCGAATGAATTGATGTAAATTTTCCAACTCTTCATGAGGCTAAAGTGGCTATAAGTAATCTAAAATGGTGGGGAGCAGAAGGGCTTGACGGATTCACCTCTGAGATTTTGAAATGTGGTGGTCCAGTTTTGGCAGTTAGATTAACTAAAATATTAGCTAAAGTCTGGGAACTGGACGAATTCCCATCTTACTAGTCTCGTATGTTAATCGTCACAGTCTTTAAGAAAGGACAAAAATCCTACAGTAATAGTCACAAAGGGATAATATAGTGCCTAAAATGTTAGCCTCACTAATACTTTGACGCCTATCTGGAACTTGTGAAGAGCAAACTCGAGCAAAAGAGTATGGTTTCAGACCTATTTGTGGACGTATAAACCCTTTGGCAGATTCTGAAACATAAACATACTTTTCAACGCCTGACTATATTCGTCTTCTTAGACCACAAGGAAGCGTTCGATTCTGTTGACCCTAGAGCTCTGTGACAGTGTCTGTCGTCGAAAGGCGTAACAGAGAGATGTATATTAATTTTGTACATTCTCTCTACTTGAACACTAATGGTCGAATCAGAGCTTATGGAGAACTATCATCGGAATTGTTTACTTCAAATCGTGTTTGTCAAAGCTGTCCGCTTTCTCTATTTCTATTTAACCTTGTCATACATAAGCTTTTAAGAATAACGCACTTATCGTCTGACTTTTCGGGGGTTGGTCTTTTACCAGAAGATTCATCTATTCACTTAAAGTACACAGGTAAAATAGTTGTGTTCAATGAAGATTCTCATAGGATGAAATCTTATGAAAACCTTGAACAACAGTGAAAGAACTTTTGGGATTTGGTTTACTCCCTCAAAATTACTTCAGTAATGGCTTGTGTCACCGCATGAATTAGTGATGGGAAGTGAAGTAGTTGAACGCATCGACCCCTCCACGTGTCTTGGGATTATCATAGGTACTGATGGTCTGGTATCTGACAACATCTTGGCTTGATTGGCTTTTTCTAACTTACGTCACTTGTGACGTAGGCGAAACATCCGTCTTCCGAACAAGGGGATAGTTTACTGTGCAGCACTTTGTTCCGTTCTATATTATGGATGTAAAATAGGACCATTAACAGTAAAGAATATTCTTGAGTTACTGGTATTTAATCATAGATGTCTACAAACCATTACTCACGTATTTTAGGACTATGGAGTAATCAATGTCTTGGTTGACGATAAAGCACCAAATAAAAGTGGGAAATTGATTGGTGAGGTAGTAAATCTTCATCAATTGAGGTGTTAGGGACATCGCCTACCTCTACAGGCGATGTTTTCTGGTGTAAGATTAGGCTGACGGAAAGCCAGGAGCGGTCAAATCAAAACATGGTCTCAGTCCATGAAGTCGTTGGCAATCGGGCTTAGCCATGTAAATGGGTATTAACTACCTGGTTGAGGTTTGTACGATCATCGTAACCAATGGTTAGGGACTTTGAAACGGCTCATAATCATTTGCAATCGCCCACGTGCATCCACTCTTTGTCTTACCTCAGATTCTAAGCTCATGAATCCCTCCTACTTTTTTTCTTGTTTTTATTTCACCGATTTATATTTTCTTCTCGAATTGTAACTTCGATGTCTAGTCTTTCCTAGTACCACTAATACTGCTACGACGTCTGCTATTCTAGTAGTTAGCCCGAAAACTTCATTTCGGGTTCGGCAACTTGAGTCGATGTACATACTTCCCAGGTTATAAGATGATCGACTAGCGTACATTACGCTACCTTCTCAGATGCCTGAAATGTTCAAATACTTTGTTGTACAATCGTATCTTTCATTTTTCAAAATACCAATTCATTCGTTGATTTAAAGTAGAAACGATTAAATAGCTTAGTTGAATAATATCATTGACAAGAACGTTTTTTCGTTGAAAGGTCTTTTATTCTACTTTAATGATAAAACAAGTTACTTTCGTTGTGTGATATTTAAAAGGAAAGCGTTTCAAAGAATGTACGGATTTCAAGAAAGTTCACATCTGAAATGACTATATCTCCATTCTTTCCCCCAAGTTTATATCTTAGTAGTAATACATTTTGCTTAATACTTTTTAACTATGTTTAGCCTTTTACGACTTGAAACTTTGGAATTGATTCACTGTCATTTACTGAATAAGTATAACTGTAGGTGTACAAAATAAGTCTATACTGTGTAAATAAGTATTATAAAGACAGGCATTACACGTAATTAACACTTTTATAACCAGAAATAGAGACCTCAGATATTATTCATTTGTTGTATTTGGATGTTTGTTGTAAATCTAAATGTGATGAAGGATTTCTTTCTAGCAAATTTTGAGTTACGATCCATTGACTTGAATATGCTTAGTCATATATCAGTAGATTTTCGGGAATTTATTGTAATTTTTAGGTTGTATTCGCATAGATTGATCTCAGTCGAGATATCGCTGAAAACTAATGAGCATGAAACAGTTATCAAGTCATAGTATGCAAACCCTGGATAGTGCAAACGTACGACTTAACGGGGAATCGACAAATAGAGAAGTCCCATATTAGTAAGATACAGCTCTGTAATATCCCATTGTTTTCACTGGTATCAGACTAATATCACGTATCACTTGTATTATAGACAAAAACATATGGTGTTGGATTCCATGTCTTGTGTCACTGAGAGAATGTTTACACTTAGGAGCTTCCCAGATATCATCAATTTAAGCTCTTAATTTTACCTATATTATTTAGTTTACCTTTTTAAATCGTGTTTCTAAGGATGTAAACACTTATACACTTCTCTCTGATTGATTAAGGAGATACCTGTATATTAATATTTCATCAGGTTGATTCATTTAATCTATTTATGATCCAAAGACCTTTATTAGGTACTATTTCGTCACTCAGATTGTGATCTGTGATCTTCAGTGAGTATTTCAGAAGAAAATCTAGAGTGTTATAGGTTCTGTCATTGTCACTACTTATTGATAAGGAAATTTTATGTTTCAAGAAACATTCATTATAAGTTAAAGACCTAAAGATCTTTCTCTGTATTATAGTTTCGGTTATTAATCATGATCAGTTACAGTTATGAATGTTTGACTTTATAGTTTAATAAATCATGAGTGATATTCCCTATGAATACAGAAACTAAGAATTTTTAGTGAAATATATGAAATACTCATTGGGAATGTTGACTTTTGCTTAAGAAAGTACTTTATTGAATAGAATATCTTCTATCAAATGAATTAAGTATAGTATTAATAGATATAACAAGTTCTTGAAAGCTCTTGTAATGCTCAATAT